GACAAGGAGAAGCCAGGTTGACCACGATGCCACGGCACCGCCACCGTGGGGGCACCATGGAGGCAGAAGCCCATGGCCCTGGGGCTCCTCCTGGGCTGTCTCTTATACACATCTAGATGTGTATAAGAGACAGCTCTCAGGCTCACACGGCCACACCACACACGCTTAGGTTCATGCTCCACGGCTCATGGACACACCACATGCTCTCAGGCTCACACTCATGGCCACACCACACACGCTCAGGTTCACGCTCACGGCTCATGGACACACCACATGCTCTCAGGCTCACACGGCCACACCACACACAGTCTCAGGGGCACGCTCACAGCTTGGTCCTGCCTCTGCCTCGCCCCAAACCCACCCCAGCCTGCGGTCACAGTCCCAGGAACCAGGAGGAGCAGGTGCTCTGAGGTCTCTCCTAACCATGCCTAGCAGCTCTTCCAGGGTTTGTGGCCCCAGGAGACGCAGACACGCAGGCTGGACAGGAATACCTGCCACACTGCCTGGGCCTGGGGCCACCAACAGCTGATCCTCAGGAGGACACAGGGCCCGTCTCCCAGACGGACTCGTCTCCTGGGCCTCTGAACCCACCTGAGATGGGGGTGTGGCTTGCAGACCCTCATCCTTCAGCAGAGAAGGACGTGCTGGACCTGGGGCCGGGGCTGAGGGCTGTGTTCTGAGACGGCAAAGCCCTCATGTCTTTAGAGCACGGACCCGGGCCCTGAGCTGGCCTGGGTCCACTGCTGACCTGAGTGGCGTGCTTTAGGGTAGGGTTGGCCTAGATGGGCTCCTGGCCTCCTGTGGCTCTGTGCTGGGGTCGGAAGGAGCAAGGCCCCCAAGCACGGCAAACACGCCTGTGTCTCCGGGTTGGGAAGTCCCCCCCCCCAGCATCTCAGAGCACACCCAGCAGCCATCGCCAACTTTCCTGAGCCCCAGGCCAGCAGCCCCGGCCCGTCCTGGCCCAGGCAGGTGGAGGTGAGCGGGGAGGTCCTGGCCCAGGCAGGTGGAGGTGAGCGGGGAGGTCCTGGCCCAGGCAGGTGGAGGTGAGCGGGGAGGTCCTGGCCCAGGCAGGTGGAGGTGAGTGGGGAGGTCCTGGCCCAGGCAGGTGGAGGTGAGCGGGGAGGTCCTGGCCCAGGCAGGTGGAGGTGAGCGGGGAGGTCCTGGCCCAGGCAGGTGGAGGTGAGTGGGGAGGTCCTGGCCCAGGCAGGTGGAGGTGAGTGGGGAGCAGGAGCACCTGCTGCCAGCTTGAGCTTCTGCCCTGTGTGGGGGCCCCAGGGCCTGTGCTGACTCCCGAGGAAGGAACAAGGCTGAGAATCCCCTGGTCCCCCGGCTTTCAGGGGCAACTGGAATCGGAGAGGCATTTCTGCAGAACCTGGCCAGGGCCAGATCCTGTAACGCTCCCAACATCCGAGCTCCTGCGAGAAGCTGAGGCTGGGGCAGGTGGTCACTTTCCCAGACCCTGCAGCCAGATGTCCAGGCATGGCTGAGCCTGCAGGGATGACCCAAGGCCAAGTGCAGGGCCTTCGGCACCCACAGCCGGTCCGTGAGACTCAGGCGTGTTCAGGGAGCAGAGAGTCTGCCCTGCGCTGGTGGCTCTGGGGGCCAGGCGAGGAGGCAAGAAGCCAGGGCCGCCGTCCTTCCTGCCCGCTCAGCGGTGTGTGTCTGCAGGGGCTCCGCGCGTGGCCGCCTCCCTCTTCCTGGGCACCTTCTTCATCAGCTCCGGACTCATCCTCTCTGTAGCTGGGTTCTTCTACCTCAAGCGCTCCAGTAAACTCCCCAGGGTCTTCTACAGAAGAAGCAAAGGTATCTCCTGGACCAGCGCGTGCCCCACAGGAGGCCACTGGCAGGCGGGACCCAGCTGTGGGGATGGGGTGCCCCAGGGTCTGCCACGTGGCTTTTGGGTCCCGTGAGAAGAGCCGTCACTTCCTGGAAACGGCTGTGTGTGGATTTGATGGTCGAAGCACCAAGGGGCCTTCCTCGGGCCCAGAGCCTCCGCTGGAACCCTCTTCCGGCAGAGGCGGCTCCCGGGGCCCTCAGGGCATGACAAGGGGCGAGTGGAGCGGGGCCAGGTGGCTCTCGGCAGCTTGGACTCGCCAGGACTCCTTTGGCAGCCACGGCCCCTCCCTCCCCTCTCCTGGGGTCAGGGCCGGCCAGGCTGGTGCAGGGCCCACACCCCAGCCTACACCATGCTGTACACATGGTCACTCCAGGCCTGGGCACTGACCCCTCCCACCGAGAGACCTTGTGGTGACTGTGGTGCCCTCAGGTGGGGGCGAGTTCTGAGCAGGGTCCATGGTGCCTGCCCTCATTGTCCCAGGCCGGCCCTCACGGGGTCCCTGCCAGGCAGATGGTCCAGCCGGCAGATCGGACCCCGAGGTGAGCACTTGGCCAGACTGTCATAGCCGAGCTGGGGCCTCCTCCCAGGTCTCTGGGCAGCCCCACCTGGCTGCTGTGAGACCCCTGTCCACCCCTCTCAACCTCTCTTGGGGTCCCAGGGCTCAGCCTCCAGTCAGGAGCCCGCTGCCAGGGGCTGCTGCACAGCCAGGCACCGAGAGGCCCCGGCCTGCTCAGCATCTCTGCCTGTGGGCATCCTCGGAGCAGGGCAGGGCTCAGGGCTTGGTCAGCCCTGGTGGCCACGGGATAAGGAGAAGCCAGGTTGACCACGATGCCACGGCACCGCCACCGTGGGGGCACCATGGAGGCAGAAGCCCATGGCCCTGGGGCTCCTCCTGGGAGGGTGGGAGGGCAGCCCTTCCCCTGGGACCCTGGAGCCTAGGGAAGCGCTTCTCATGAGGGTGACTTGTTCTTCTGCTGAGGCGGGAAGGTGGGTCTGGGGAGAGGGGACTTGCCTGGGGTACTAGGGAGGCCCCCGCACCCCTGAGTTCCCTGGAGGAATGTGGCACCGTGGGGAGAGGTGGGGTGAGACCAGCCTGACCCCACAGCCCCGGGGGCCTCTGCTGCTCTGCGGACTCCGCGCTGGGCTGATGCTGAGGCAGCTCCTTGGCTCCAGGATGACTGTCCGCTTTCTTCCCCACAGCCCCAGCCCTGCAGCCTGGCGAAGCCGTAAGTAACCCGTGTCATCTGGGCTGAGCGTCCCCGGCCGCGTGTGTCTGTGCCGGGCCATCCCAAGTCCTCACTCTGCCTTTCTCTCCTTTTCAAGGCTGCAATGATCCCCCCGCCACAGTCCTCAGGTAACAGCAGCATCCTCCTGTGGGGTTTCCCATCTCTAGGCCAGACCCAGGGTGCTCGTGGGTGTGTCCCCAAACAAACGGGTTTGCCTGGCTCTGGATCTCGGCCGCCCCTGCCCAGGTCCCCAGAGAGACCCACGAGGCTGGGCCAGGGCCGGATTTGGCTGGCACCCCCTGCTCCGGATCTCAGCCAGATTTGGCCAACACACCCTGTCCGCCCCCTTTGATCCCCAGGACTTCCATGCCCTTTCCTGTTCCTGAGACGTGGGGTCTGCAGGAAAGGAGGACCCACCACAGGGCAGACCCCCAATGCCTGCCCCTCCTTCAAGTCCAGCTCCGCCCAAGGACGGACGCAGCCGGCCTCCGCCAGGCCCTCCTGAGCAGCCGTTGCTTCAGTGGCGCTGGGTCAGGTGGACCCAAGGGTCAGCCTGGTTAGGACCCATTTTATAGGCGGGGCCACAGACACAGAGGCTGAGTGACTGGCCCACAGCCACAGAGCTCCAAGGCCATGAGCAGGGCTCACCCAGCCTCCGTCCCCCTGTGCAGAGGTCTCTCATGGGGGCAGGTGACAGTGCCTTAGGGGACAGACAGTTCTCCATCAAGGCTGGACCTGCCCCATCCCTAAAGCAGCTGTGTCTGCAAGGGCCCAGCAGACCACAGGGTGCCCAAGTGCCCCGGGCCTGCCAGCTTCAACAGCAGACCTTTAATCTGACTGTCCTAGAGTTCAGAGTCCAAAACCAAGGGGCAGGCGAGGCCACATGCTTCCCGAGGCTCCAGGGGAGGACCCTGCCTACCTCCCCAGCCCCTGCCGGCTCAGGCATCTGGCTGCGTTGCCCGTCTCTGCCCCCGGTCCCACGGTGTCTCCCCCGCCTCTGCGTCTTCTCTCTCCGCCTCCCTCTCAGGTGGGCACTGGCCATTGATTCAGGGCCTGCCCCAGGAACCCTGGGCGATCACGCCTGAGACCCTGACGTTAACCCCTTGCAAAGCCCCTTCTAAATAGGGTCACATTTGAGGTCTCAGGGCTAGGGCCTGCTTATCGCCCCGAGGTACATGGTGCTCTATGACCCACATCTTTGTCTTCAGGAATAGCCTGGCCCTCGTCCCGGCCCCGGGGCCCAGGGTGTGAATGAGAGGAGGCAGCGGCGCAGGAGGAAGCCGTCCCTTTCCCGGGCCGGAGCTCTGAGGGCACCTTCCGGGCAGGGGGCATCTGGGTTCCCATCTGGTCAGCGTAAACAGCCCCGGGGGCCTGTGCCATGCCCACTCCCGAGAGCCTCCGGTAGGGGCTGAGGCCTGCACTGTCCCTGCTGTCCAGGTCCCACTCTGACCCTGCCTGTCTGTGACCCATTTCAGTACGGAAGCCGCGCTACGTCAGGCGGGAGCGGCCCCTGGACAGGGCCATGGACCCCGCTGCCTTCTCCTCGGCAGAGGCCCGTATCAGCAACGTCTGACCTGGAGGCCGAGACCACACCATGCGCTTGGCAGCAGTGACCCGGAGGCTGACCCCTTGGCGGGAGCCCGGCACAAAGGGTTGGCATCGCCCAGCGCCCGGGACAGGCCTGGGCACAGCCCTGGCTCTGAGTCTCTCTGTCTCCCAGGGACAGACACCGAGGGGTCCCGGGCTGCCTGAGGCTCCTTCACACCACAGCCGTCGGCTTTATGGGACCAGGAGCGGGCATCCGTGAGACCTCAGAGCATCAGATCGAGGCCCTGGGGGGTCTGGGCCCCCCAGGAAACATGATGAGGCCCCAGCACCTGCAGCCGAGATGCAGGCCTGGCTCAGGCAGCCAAAGCTGGTGTGATCTACGGGGCAGGCACCGCTCTGCCTAGAAAAGCCAGGGGCTCTGCTGTGATGCCCTCCGGAGCCCACGACGGGCAGGACTCCTCCAGCACCACCGCACCAAGACCCCTGAGAACAGTGAGGCTTGTCCTCGTGCCATTGCAGCCGATGCCGGGCCAGTGGGGAGGACGCAGCCTGGAACCAGCTGCCTGAGACGGGGCGCCTGTGGGCCGTCCTCCCGTGTGGCAGAGACCCCAGGCCACAGCCACCCATTTCCGGGATGCAGGGTAGCTTCCTCTTCATCTCTGTCTGTGTCGAAGCAGAAATTCATGTGCAGGAAAGTCCTCCAGAGTTCTGCAGCCCCGCTCGGACCCCCTGGGCCCCCGGGCCTGGACCCCGTGCCTGGACCCCCTGCCTGGGCCCCGGGCCTGGCTGATCCCTGCCCACGCGGGGCAGCCCACATCTAACCCCCACAAGTCACCGCCTCGCTGGATCTGCCAGGCGGCCCTGGCGCTGTCTGAGTCCCGGGGTCCCTCCGGGCTTCCTGGGAGAAAGGCGCGTTTGTGGCCGCCCCCTGCACGCCAGGCTCGGGCTCCACTGTGGTCTTAGATGCACTGTCTGCTTTAGCATCAGGCCCCCATCTGAGGGGCGGCCTGGCCTTCGGGGCCCCACGCTCCTCTGTGAAGTCCCCTGTGGGTGTCGCCATGGTCTCCGGGACCTGGGCCAGCGGGAACGTGGGGGCACTGGTGCTGATATAAAGTCAGCTGCCCTCTCCCGTAGCATCCTCTGTTCTCTAAGTGCAGGTCGGGGAGCAAAGCCCCCGCCAGGCTGGCCCACGCGCTCACCACCGTGTGCTGGGGGCCAGGAGGCGGGACGGGGGTGGAGGAGAGTTGAGCCCCCACCTGCTGCCTGGTTGGGGCCCTGAGAGCTACGAGCACAGGGTGCCCCCACCCCCCGCACCCGCACATTTTCTGCCACAGGCCTATTCCCTGAATACAACCTGTGCAGGTAGGACCTGCGGCCCCCGACCCCCCAGCTCGGACCTGAGGTGGGACAGGGTGCGGACGTGCGTTTCCATGGGCCGGCCGGGCTGCATGGGGCTGTGGACACGGGCCCGGGAGGGCTGCCGTGGGCCATTAGGGGCAACAGTGGGGGCGTGTTTGCTGACGGTGGTGGGCCTGGCCAGAGAGGGCTGAGCTGGGGCAGGACAGGCCTTGAGGGGCAGAGGGCCTGGGCATCAGGACGCCAGAGCGCTGCCCCTGCTCGTAACTGTGCCCCCCACCCAGGCAGAAACGGCCCCTGCCTGGAGGGCTGTGTCTTTATAGACACCTGCCTCCCTGTCCCTGAAACCCCCAGCCTGAGGTTTGCAGCCAGGGAGCGCCTGGGGGAGCATCGGCTCTGCCCTGGGCCCTGGCCCAAGAAGTGTCCTGGGGCTGGGAGGGTCACCTGGTCCTAGGGAGAAAGGGAGGGACTGGACAGCCCAAGGCTACTCTGAGCCCAGCATCGGCAGCCTCACCTGATGGAGAGCGGGGTGAAGGGAAGGAGCGGGACCGAGAGGAGTGGGGTGGAGGGAAGGAGACAGGGACGGAGGTGGGGATGGAGGGAAGGAGCCGGATGGAGGGAAGGAGGCGGACCGAGAGTGGGGTGGAGGGAAGGAGCGGGACCTAGGGGAGTGGGGTGGAGGGAAGGAGACAGGGATGGAGGTGGGGGTGGAGGGAAGGAGCCAGATGGAGGAAAGGAGCCGGGCCCGAGAGGAGTGGGGTGGAGGGAAGGAGCTGGACCGAGGACCGAGAGCTGGGTAGAGGGAAGGAGCCAGACTGAGAGGAGCGGGGTGGAGGGAAGGAGTCCACGCCCCGCTGGAAACTCCACTGCTGCATTTGCACCAGGCTGGCCGTCTGGTTTGGAGGATAAAATCAGAAACAGGCACGGACAGCAGGTTCAGCCAGGTAGGCTCTGGAGGCCGGGCCAGACAGGCACCGTCCCAGCCCACCCTCTGAGTAGCCCCCAGGTCCCATCTCTCAATTCTGGGTCCCCTTCCTCTCTCCCACCCAGTGGCCCAAACCAAAACCCCAGGGTCCTCCTGCCACCTCCGTATATCCCCCTCAGCTGGCTCCCCACGTCCCCCACCTGCGCACTTGTGATTGGCCCCTGGTGGGCAGCACGCGGTCAGCCAGGACCTGTGGCAGCGAGGGACGCACCCTCCTCACTAGGTATGGGAGGGACTTACTGGCTGGGCCTAGGGTTGGCCCAGCACGTCCCAGAGCCCTACTCGCCGACACCAGCCTCCCCTCTGCACATCTGGGCCCCTAGGAAAGAAGTCCAGCCCCAGAACCAACAGAGCTGCTGCATTTCAGCCAATGGCCCAGCACGGGGCAGGTGGGGTGGGGCAAGGCTAGGGGGGCCCCAGAGCAGCCCAGGACCGGAAGGCCCCTCCCCAGGCCGGCCACACCGCGTCCCAAGGCCTGGCAGTGCCGGGTCTGACCTGTAATCCAGGGGCCTGGAGGGGAAGGAGTCCCTGAGAGGGCGTGAGGAGACCGAAAATGAAGGAGGTGAGGGGTCAGGCGCTCACGCCAGCATGCAGGCCTCAAGCATGCGCACGTGTGATCCCACACACGCCCACAGGCTGCGATGGAGGGGACCAGGCGGGCCCACCCCATGCCCTGGACACGGCCAGCCAAGCTGCTCCGCTGCCATCCCGAGCCCCCCGAGGGCCCAGCATCCCGACCCCGGCCTGGTCTGAGCTGGGAGAGGTGGAGCTGCTGGCTCCTCTCCTACACAGGGAGGCCTGGCCTGGCCCCGAGACCACACATTCCTCCGGCCTTCCCTCACCTTCGCCGCCAGCACGAGTGTCAGCCGGGAGCCCCGAGTGACCTCAGTGCCCAGATATTCCCAGGAGCTGTCGGGAGGACGTTCCCAGAGCTGCAGGGGCCCGGGCGCTTCCTGGAGGCGGCATGTGACCCGAGTCACGGCCCTCAGGAAGCAGGAGCCTCCAGTGAGCGCTTTCCAGGCTGGGCCTCGCAGTGGCTCCCCACACGGAGTCCCCATAGCCTCCGCCACCCTGGACCCCTCACAGGGCTCCCATCCCTCCCCAACTCTGAGCATCCACCCCTCTCTCTCTGAACCCCCAGCCCTCGCCCCACTCTCCAAGCATTCTCCCCTCCCTATCTGAGCTCCGACCCCCTGCTGAGCCCCCCAGCCCCCCACTGAGAGTCCTCATGGGACTGGCAGGGGTCCCGCCCTTCCTGAGCCCAAGCCCCATCATCCTCCTCCTCCACGGGGCATTGCCCGGCCTCTGCAGTCTTGATTCCCACTTCCCAGCATCCCTTGGGCTCCAGGATGCGCACGGCAGCACTGGGGGAGCCTCTGGGTCCTCACTGAGGGGTCAGCGGGCACCTGCGGGGGAGTTGCCTGAGGGCAGCCTGTGGGGTGGCCTGGCCAGCTCTCCCACTAGGGTGGGCCCCTCACTCCCAGCCCCACCCAGTGTGACACCCCCCCAGGCTGGTGTGTGCGGTCCCAGCTCAGGTCCAGCCCAGGCCTCATGGCGGGAATGGGGCTGTGGCACCCAGGTCAGACCTGCCCTTGCATGAGGTCCACTGGGCTGGGGGAGAGACGCCTCAGTGAGGTGGGAAGCCAGCAGCTGGACAGCCTGGGGGTGCAGCTCTGTACCAGGCCCTCGGGCAAGCAGCAGAGTGTGCAGGGGGGTGGGGGCAGCCCATGCCACTGGCTGCTCCTCTGGGCCTCTCACACCCTCCATCCCAGTCCCCCGGCTCTCATCAGCTCCAGCCCTGGTCTTTGCACAGACCAGTTCTGTAGTCTGCTGGGGCATGTGGACACGGCATGTGTGTGAATGTGTGGACATGGCATGTGTGAGCATCTGGACATGGCATGTGAGAGCGTGTGGACATGGCACGTGTGAGAGCATGTGAACATGGCATGTGTGAGCACGTGTGGACACAGCACATGTGTGAATGTGTGGACACAGCATGTGTGAGCATCTGAACATGGCATGTGAATGTGGACAGCACATGTGTGAGAACGTGTGGACACAGCATGTGAGCATCTGGACACGGCACAAGTGTGAGCGTGTGGACACGGCACGTGTGTGACAGCATGTGGATATGGCGTGTGAGTGGACGTGGCACGTATGCGAGAGCATGTGGACATGGCACGTGTGATAGCATGTGGACGTGTGTGTGAGAGCATGTGGACACAGCATGTGTGAGGGTCTGGACATGGCACATGTGTGAGAGCATGTGGACATGGCATGTGTGTCTGTACATGGCATGTGTGTGACAGAGTGTGGACATGGCAACTGTGAGAGCGTGTAGACACATGAGAGCATGTGGACACGGCACGTGTGGGAGCGTGTGGACATGGCATATGTGAGCGTCGACATGCCATGTGTGTGAGAACGTGTGGACATGGCACGTGCGGGAGTGTGTGGACACAGCACATGTGAGAGCGTGTGGACATGGCATGTGTGATTGGACACAGCGTGAGATCATGTGGACACGGCACATGTGTGAGCATGTGGACACAGGATGAGTTGTGTGGCCACGAGGGGCATGTGTGTGACAGCGTGTGGACACACAGCCCATGTGTGAGAACAGCTACGTTTGTGTGTGGATGAGGCAGGTGGGTATGGGCAGGGAAGTGGCAGGAATGGGCTGTGAGGTGAGGCAGCCATGAGCAAAGGGCAGGGGCAGGCTGGGCATAGGTTGTGGGGGGCTCAGGGGAGGGCCCTGCTGGGAGCCCACCCAGGAGCTCGGGGGCCACAGGGACCTGGAACCCGGCGGAGCAGCTTCCAGCGGTTGCTCCAGCCTCCTGGGGCTATAGGGAGACAGGGCTTGGTCCAAACACACACCCCAACCCAGACCCGCCCAGACAGCTGCGAATGTGCTGACCCCCACCTGGCTCCGACCCTCACCCCACTCCCTGCCCTCCAGCCGCCTGGCCTGCCAAGGAGAGGATGAAGCCAGCCAATCCCTGAGGCTTGTGGCCACACCCTGGGCCAGCACGACCCACAGGGTATAAATAGACCTGCTTGGGAGCCCACACCCGGCAACTCACACCTGCCTCAGACCAGAGCTCTGCGCGGGCGAGGGCGCACACATTCCCTGTGTCCCCACCTGTCTTGGACGGAGCAGAAGCCACACCTGCCAGACCAGTGCCACCGGGACAGCTACTGGTGATTGGCCCCGGGAGGGATACCTGCCAGGTGAAGCACAGGCCGGGCTGGGCCCGGAGACGAGGAAGCAAACTCTGCCAGGGCAGGGCAGCCCAGGGCCTTGGAGCCCAGCCGTGGCCAGTGAGGAGGACCATGCCCAGGACCCGCTGACCCCCGGCCACCAGGTAAGGCCAGCTCAGCCTGTGTTCACCCCTCACCTGCACAGGCTCAGGGTGGGGCACCATCGTGGAGGGGTGGGGCCTGGTGCCAAGGAACCGGTTCTGTGGGGTGCACAGGCCACAGAGCACAGTCCCCGGGTCCCAGTGCCTGGGGCACTCACGGCCTCACCGTGATGGTGCGTGACTCAGGTGGTCACAGTGGCCTGTGTCATCCTGCCAGCCTGTCTGGGACTCACTGGCAAGTCATGGGCGGGCCAGGGCAGTGCCAGGACTCACTTCTGGGGCATCCTCCTGGGCCCCAAGGAGATGCACAGCCAGGCCCTTGAGGCTCACTCTCACCCTTGCCCACTTCCCTCCAGCTGGGACCCCTGCAGGGGATCCTGGGTGCAGGGGAGGGGCGGGAGGTGGAGCCGGGTCCCAGGTCAGCTGAGATGCCCACCTGAGCCACGCCCAGGGGCAGAGCAGCGTCCCCCAGTGTCCGTCCCCCAGGGCCCCTGCCATGAAGTGGGAGTGGGTCAGGGAGAAGAAACACCCGCTCAGTGGGCGGCTGAGGGTGCCCTGACCATCACCTGACCATCAGGCAGTGGGCCCAGAGGGAATGGCTAGGCTTATCCAAGTCCCAGTCCTCCGCCATGCACATCAGACCCTCAGCAGCCAGACAAGCTGGCCCTGCAGGCCCCAGGTTGTGCCTGACACTCACCTTCCTTGGGCACTGATCCCTGTCCCTGTCGTCCCGAAGCCCCCCGGGGCTCAGCCCGGTCCCCAGACCCAGAGACCCCCACACGCCACCCTCACATAGCTGCCTGCAAATCGGGCCTGCGCCGCCCAAGCCAGGCACCCATCCTGGGATCCGAATTCAAACTCACTTCACTTGACTTGGAGCCCCTGGCCTGCCTGAGAGCCATATCCTCCAGGGTCCAGGGCCTGCTGGCTCCCTTGGGGTGGCCCTGGCTGAGTCACCCATGCTCTGGGCAGCCTTTTCCACACTGTGAGTCCCCTGACATGGGCCCAGCCTTGCAGAGCCCTGACATAAACAGTGACTACTGTGGCTATCGTCATCCTCACCATTATTTCTGCCCAGGCAGAATATTGTCGGCCAGGCAGGTGAGGCGGGGCCGACAGGAGGTGTCTGCCGAGCAGTCGGCGAGACCCCTGTGCACATGGCCTGCATTCCCGGAGCCGGCCTGGGGTCCTGTGGGAGGCTTACCCGGTGCAGCCGTGTGATGGGGCAGAGAGGGCAGGATTGCACGTGGGGCAGAATGACCTCCAGGGGCACCGGAGGAACTTTCTGGAGTGGCGCACGGGGAACAGAGCCCTTCCCTGGGATCTCCGGGCAAGAGAGGGGAGGGGGAGGTAAAAGACCACCAGAAAGGGGCGGCCTGTGGTTGCTCAGCACGGTCCCTGTCCCACAGCTCCGAGACATGTCGTCCGGCCAGCAGGTGTGGCACACGGCCGTGCCCCCCCATCGCCGGAGCAGCTCCACAGCCTCGATGCCCAGGTCCCCCAGCTCGGCTGGCAGCCCCAGGTCCCCTGGCACCCCTGGCTCGGAGAAGGTGGCCTCCCCCCTGGAGTGCTCCATCTGCTTCTCAGGCTATGACAACATCTTCAAGACGCCCAAGGAGCTCTCCTGCACCCACGTCTTCTGCCTGGAGTGCCTGGCCCGGCTGGCGGCTGCTCAGCCTGTGGGCCGCCCCGGCGGTGAGGCTGTACCTTGCCCCTTCTGCAGGCAGCCCACGACCGTGCCGCCTGCCGGAGCTCCCGCACTGCGCACCAGCCGCCAGTTGCAGGCCCGGATGCCAGCGCATTTGCGGCGCGAGGAGCCCGTGTGGCTGGAGGGCACCAAGCTGTGCTGCCAACCACTGCCCACCACACCTGGCCACAAGCCCAGCTTTGTATGTGTGGACGTGGGTTTGAGCAAGCCTGCCGAGCCGCCCGCACCCGCCCAGGACCCTGCCCCCCGCCGGGGCCGCCTGGCCCGCTGCTGGACGCGCTGCAGGGACTGGAGGCGCATGGCACTGGTCTCTGCCCTGCTGCTGGTGCTCTTCTGCGTGGCACTCTGGCCGGTGCAGTGCGCGATCAAGACTGGGAACCTGCGCTGCCTGCCGCTGCCCCCCCGGCCCCCGGCCACCACCACAGCCGCCTCCCTCCGCGGGCCTCTGACTGACAACTAGGGCCACCAGCCTTTGCACAGGTCAGCCGCCCTCACCCAGCTCCACGGGTGGGTCCCCCACTGGGGGGCTCAAGGGCGCAGCAGCCACTGGAAGTCGATCCCTGAGGATGCAAAAGGAGCCTGGCGTCTCTGAAGACTCCTTCTGGGCCCCACCAAGACCAGGCTCCATTTAGCTTGTCCACCCCTCACTCTCCAGGCTGGGTCCTGACGGGGTGGACAAGAGGGTCCCCAAAGCCTCCAGGAACCACAGGTTCACCGGGCGCGGTGGCTCATGCCTGTCATCTCAGCACTTTGGGAGGCTGAGGCGGGAGGATCACTTGAGGTCGGGAGTTCAACACCAGCCTGGCCAACGTGGTGAAACCCTGTCTCTACTAAAAATACAAAAATTAGCTGGGCGTTGTGGCAGGCGTCTCTTAGCTACTCGGGAGGCTAAGGCAGGAGAATTGCTTGAACCCAGGAGGTGGAGGTTGTAGTGAGCCAAGATTGCACCACTGCATCCAGCCTGGGTGAAACAGCGGGACCCTGTCTCAAATTGAAAAAAACAGAAACAAAAATAAAAAACCAGGCTCCTACAGGAAGCGCCCAGGAGAGAAGCTGGTCAGCGCTCCTGACACCCACACACAGTGTGACTTGCCTGCCAGGGAAGCCCCTTGCCAAGAAGGAAGGGGCCTTGCCATGCTTCGACTCATGCCGACATGTCCCCCTCAGGGCTGGCCCCACCGTTGGGTGGGGATGCCAGTCTTGCCCTCTGACTGTGGGGAGAGAGTGGAGGCAGGGCAGCCCCCAGTGCAAGGTAACCACAGAAACTTCCAGCTGCCCTTGTACATTTTAAAATAAATTATTTGTATCCATCTTTGCTAAGAGGGCCTCACCTTGGGTGTGCCTGCTGCAGCCTCAACCCAGATGATACCCTGACAGGATTAGACTCCCGGCAGACACTGGGACAGGTGGGCCCAAGGTTTCAGGGGGTCCAACTCCCAGCCCCTCTGGCTACGGACAGGCTGGGGGTTTCTGGAGTTGGCTGGAGACTCACCGGTGTGAGGCTCCCCGGGGACGCTTGGGGCCTGACCCCGGGGAGGGCATCAGCTTGGCTCAGAGCCCAGTGGCTGACAAAGGGGGCCTTTCTCTTCCCCCATCCCCCACTGTGGCCATACTAGGCCACACCTCCAGGATTTCATGCCCATGGCCCTGCCAGCGTCCCTGACTGGAGAGCCACAGAACCCATGACCCCTGTGGGAACCGAGAAGCAAAGGTTACAGCCGGCAGTCTGCAGATCCACAGACCCTCCGGCAACTCCCGGGCCAGCCTGGCTGGGGAAGAGGCAGAGTGCAGCTTCGTGAGGCCTCGGCAGGAGGCTTGCCAACCCCAGCCCTACCCCGTCTGTCATCAGCCCCAGGAATCCTGCACCACCAGGCAGGCACGGCCAGGAGGGCCCAGGCCAGTTTCAGCTCACGCAGGCCTCCTCGGCCTTCTCATCCCTGACCCCAGAGCCCAGGTACTTCCTGCACCAACCAGTTGGGCTTCTGATCCAGGATGGGGAGGGCTCAGGAAGGCCCCACAGAAGCTGACTCCGGCTGTGGGCACCACACCCACCCTTGCCCCAGGTCCCAACAAAGACACAGAAGGGAAAACACAGCACTTCACAGGAAGGCTGCAAAGCCGGTGATGTGGGGAGTGCAGCCACGGGTCACAGCGACATCACTCTGTGTCACACACACGGTCATGCCCACGCAGGCCCACACCCTTGTCATCGGCAGGGCCAGGCGCGTGACGCTGCACGGGTGGCCACATGAATATGTCACACCCACCTCACTCCACAAACATCTACCTTGTGACTGATGGGGCCACATCCCAGACCACGGGAGCAGGCAGGGCCGGCAGACGGGAGCTGCGGTGAGGGCAGCCTGGTGTCCTGGCCGCTCAGACCCGCACTGAGTGGCTGAGCTGGTGGCGCACACGGGTTCACACGTGGTCACGGGTGGGCTTCGCTGCCTGCCACTCCCTCTGCCGCCCCTGGGCCTCCCTGAGCTGGGGACAGCTTGTGGCTCCGTCCCGGACACAGTGCCGGCCCGCGGCTCCGGCCCCACGCGGGCTCCTCAAACACCCGCGGCTCTGCAGGTTCGCGTCCAGGGCTGCGGGGTCCTGCGCGCGGAGCAGCGGCTCAGCCCGGCGCCCCGCACGTCCCAGTCCCTCCCGGAGGACGCCGGCCCGGCCCCGGCTCTCCACTCACACTGCGGGCGCCCGGGGAGACGCGGGCCGGGGGCTGCAACCCGATTCGCGGGGGGCGGTGCCCACTTTTTGGTTCTCGCGCTCCTGGGGCGGCTCGAGCTGTGGGGAGGGGCCGCCGGTCACCATGGCGACGCCCGCAAGGCCCCGCCCCGCAAGGCCACGCCCCCGCAAGGCCACGCCCCCGCCTGCTCGCGCAGGCGCAGTCGCCCGCCCTGGATGTATCGCTGCAGCGCCAGGTGCACGAGCTTGTCCTGAGCCTCCCTCTGCACCATCCCCGAGCGCTGCCGCCGAACCAGCTGCATAAGGACGTCGATCTCGCGGCCCAGCCCCGGGAACACGCGCGCTTAGCGAGGGGCTACGGATGAGGGGCGGGGCTTGCCGGCAGGGGTGGGGTCGTCCTGAGGGGTGGGGCTATAGCCGGGCAGGGTGGAGGCACCCAGGGAGGAGGAGCTCACCTGCCTGCGGATGACGTCTGCCAGGATGTCAATCACGATGATGGTGCAGGTGCGTCCGATGCCCGCGCTGAGGACAAACCAGGCGGCCTTCGATGGGAGTGGGGGGCGGGGGCGCCCCGCGCCACCCGATGGCTCCGCCCGCATCGTCCCGCGTGGCCCCGCCCCGCCGCACCTGAAGGGCACCCCCACGGGCCCGGCCCCCCGCTCGCTGCTTTGAGCCGGATTCACCTCGTCCCGGAAGCCGAGGACGCCGTAGTCCGACCAGCCGAAGTACTGGAAGTGCCGCGCCCTGTGCGGTGGCTCCTCCGGGCGGAGCAGGCGTTGAGTGCGACCCCCCGGGGGGAGGGGCGGGGGGAGGAGGAGGCTGAGGCACAGCTGGGTTTGCCGGGAGTGCCCAGGTGGAGGGACTGCGGGGGCCACGGCGAGCAGGAGGAGGGAGGAAACGGGGAGGGGCGCCGAGATGGCCCCAGGTGGCTCAGGTGCCTGGGGAAGGCAAGAGAAAGCTGGGGCAGGGGAAGCAGGCCGTGAGGACAGTGATTCTATAAGGAAAAACCAAATGCGAGGGCTCCATGGCGGCCTGGGGGATCCCCTCACACACACTGGCGGCGGCTGGGGGGAGCAGGAGGGAATCTGCCTGGGACAGAAATGGGCGCCGCTGGTATGCAACGGAGACCAAAGCTGCAGTTCTGAGAGGTGTGTGGGGGGAGTGGCCGCCAGCCTCGGGCTGAGAATGTGGCCACCTCAGTGACCCCTGCCCAGGCTTGAACTGCACCTCCTGGGTTGAGGGGCGTGGAAGTCCCCAAAGGCAGTGGGGTTGGATGCAGGCAGGTGTGGGGGTCTCCCAGTGCAGGTCCACGCTCCCCTGCTGCCAGGCTCCCCTGGCCCGGCCGCCACACCTGCAGCTCCTGCACGCAGTAGCCCTGGGCCTGGCCCTCACCCAGGATGCCCACATGCGCCCAGCCAAACTCTGGGCCAGTCCCGGAAACACTTGTTCTGGGGGCAGTGGTTCGCATCAGCCTTGCCAGCAGCCCCCCAGCACCCTGCCCCTGCGCCCTGCAGAGATGCAGGCGTGTACGTGCAGCCACGGGGCTCTGTGGGACCCTCCCCACTCCCACAGCGTCCCACAGGCTCCTTGGCCTGGTCGGGAAGGGCCTTGGGCAGCTGAAGATGCACAGGGTGGGATGGGCACTGGGAGTGCTGGCACCGCGCCCCTACCCGGCCTCGCTCCACCTCCCTACTGGTGGTGACAATGCCACGCATGTTCTCCTGGTGCACCACGGCCTGCAGACAGCCCTGCGTGGCAATGTACACCCGCCATGGCCTGGCTCCTCCTCAGGGTCAGTCTGAAAGGGGATGAGGCCAGCTGCTGCTGTCCAGAGGACAAACAAGTCCATGCAAATGCTATGCAAATATTATGCAAATACTAAGCAAAGGAGCTCTGGTGGCTCAAACACACTCCTCACTCCAGGCCAGCAAGGGGCTGAGGACCTATGCCCGTCCAGCCTCTCTGAGGACCCCTTGGGGACTGCTGCCCACCCCTCCCCTGGGGACCCTGGTTATTCCTGGGTCCTCCAGGAGCAATGGGCCCAGGCCCCACCCCCTGCGCACACCCACCCTGATGTAGTCGGCTCCAGGCCCACTGTCATCCTTGTCGAGCAAGATGACTCAGGTGGTGTCAACTGGGAAGGGAGGTGCCGCTCAGTTCTCCAGGGCAGAGCTCGTGGGCCCAACCCTGCCTCTTTGCCTGCAGACCCCGTGGTGAGCAGAGATGGAGGGTCCAGGGTGTGGGAGGGGAAGCCTCAGGTCAGTGGTGGCAGATGCTTGGCCTCCCCGCCACCTTCCCCAGGCCCGACGGGTAACGCCCTGGCCTCTGCCCTCACAGTGATTCTTGGGCTTGTTCTCTACCCTCTGCCCCTCCTTTCCAGGGTACAGGAACCAGCATTCCTGCTGCTGCAGCATCTGGAGGTGATGGAGCCTTCAGTTCACAGCCCTGGCTCCTTCCCAGAGCCCTAGATGGCCAACCCCACCTTGTCCTGTGTGGGCAGAAGAGAACCTAGGTGCTGAGGCAACAGACTGAAGGCACAAACTGTTTCAGTATAATAAAGAAAATAGAATAAGAATAGTCATAATACAAATTAGATATAGAGATGATCACGGGCAATTATCAATCATTATTATAAACATTATTAATCATTAGCTTTTGGCCGGGCACGGTGGCTCACGCCTGTAATCCCAGCACTTTGGGAGGCCGAGGCGGGAGGATCACGAGGTCAGGAAATCGAGACCATCCTGGCTAACCCGGTGAAACCCCATCTCTACTAAAAAATACAAAAAAACTAGCCAGGCGAGGTGGCGGGCGCCTGTAGTCCCAGCT